GGATTGATGCCATGGAACCACAGATTCCATGCCCTCGTCATCCTTAACAGCTAACTTCTTCCGAAACAATTGGTCTCCCTAATAATCACGCTCATTAGGGCTGCCTCCGCCTTTGCAAAGACAGACGCGCTCACTATCTTAGGGGACTTCAATAGCGCACGCGTGGACTCTGCATATATAAGGACCAGAAAAAGAGGGGTAAGGTTCATACAGCACTTTTCATATGCAGGACCTATCCATTATCTATATAAACTGATTTTAATACTCCAATTCGAATCGAAGAGTGTCAGCGCTGACATGAGTCCTGGCATTAATTTTGGCTGCAATCTTACCGACCGTTTGCGCCAAATAAACCTTTAGGCAGTGATCAATATATGAATACTATAGAGCTGGACTTCGCCGAAAAACGACGCACCCACTGTGTCCACCAGACTCGCTGCGATGATTTTAGTACGCACAAAAGGCCAACCAGTTAGAGTCACCTTTCAGCTTCCACGCGTGAATGACTGAACTCAAACAGGATGCACAGGCTTTAACGCTATCGAACCAATGGGCACCTATCTGCAGCACCCACGTTGGAAGGAGGGCTAGGAGAACACACGCGCACTGCCTATGCGCGTGATGAGTGTCAGAGTCGCAAACGCCACCGGGGGCAGAAAATGGTGAGCCGATAAGAAGGGGGTGAAATGGGTTTGAGGGCTTTAGGGCGGGTGGGGGGGGGGGGCGATAGAATGCGAGAACGGCAGAGCAAGGCGCGATGGTTTAGGAGCGAAGCTCCTCTCAGTTAAACCTTGACCTGCGTCTGGCCTAAGCGAAAGAAAAGACCGGAAACCAAGAAAAGAAACTAGAAAGAAAGGAAGACAGTATCTCTCGAACAGGTATAAGAGACGACGCCGTCTGATAGAAGTACATACAAACTGCAGCTGGGTGAGGATATTCTAGATAGCGCTGTACCACTACTCTCGATTGGCTGCTGCGCGAGTTGTGCCTGGGTGCGTGAGGAAAGAGTGCCTCCCTCAGCCTCCTGTATAGTCGCCATAGGTCGCGGGTCACTTGGTGGTGCATGGTCGAAGCAGAGCAATAGGCGCGCTGAAAACGTTTGCACTCGGCTTCCTTGGCTCGGGTCTCATCGCTGTTACCCGCTCGCTGTCTGCATTTTCGAACGCGATAGGACGCATGCACGGACGGACAGACAGACGGATTGATAGATGGACAGACGAATGGAAGCAGGTACAGACCAACAGATGGACGGACGGACGCACAGACAGAAGACAGACAGACAGACAGACAGACAGACAGACAGACCGATGGACGCACGTACAGACGAACGAATGGACGCACGAGTGCCTGGATGGACGTACAGACCAAGACACGGATGGACGCGTGGACAGACGGAATCACAGATCGACGGACAGAAGCACGCATCGACGTAAGAACGCTTCGCCCACTCATCATCATTTACTCCGTGGGTATGTTGTAATTTTTTCTTCCTCCGTTAGTGCTGCAGAGCAGAAGCCACGCCGGTTTGCGGCGTCCGCTAAGGCGAGTAAATGGCTCCTACTGCAAGTTGCGTGTGAGTTCGCTTTCGTGCCATTATGTCTCACCTCTGACGCAGCATGTTCTATCGACCGTCAGTCTGCGAGGATTGTTCGTCCCGAGCTTTCGGTTCTCCTGTCTGCGTTAGCGCTGTGTTATGCAAGTCTAGCAGGTTGTGATTATTTTTAGTCGTGAATGAAAAGCGGTTCTTGTTTCCCTACAATGCTGGCTCTTGTGCTGGGGTTGTGGCTAACTGACCCTTGTGGTATTTAGAGCGCTAAACAAGCAAGAAATAAAAGACAGAGTTACTAACACGCCCTCCCCCCCTCCCCCTGAGAGAAGGTGGGACTTCGAACACAAACGTTCGACGCCAACCCAAATCCTCCTATTATACACAGTAGGTTAGGACATTTACTTCAAGTGCAAACTCGTATACCTAAGCGCTGGGAAAGGCAAACTAAATAGAAGACATGCACGCGTAACTTCAAAAAGAAACAGAACCGAACAACGCCGCTCCCCGTAGATGTAGTTTAAACCAAATATGTGATGAATGGCGAAGTAATCTCTTCTCACCTAGGGCCTGGCATCAGCTTCGACACATGGTAGACACCAGTGAAGCTAAAAATCAAACGCGGCTCACACATGAAAGGCTTGCCCACCAAAATAAACGAACTCAGCAGGCACTGTCAAACCAATTAAATTTAACTCATGCCGCTTTTGGCCACGCAATATCATATCCCGACTATATTCGTCCCGATCAGGCTTCACTCGACTTATCGATACAGGAGGCCGAAGTCAGAGCGGCGCTTTTTTAACACAAAAACTCGGCTCCTGGAGAAGACGAGATCACCAATGTCATGCTCTGGAACCTAGATAGTTGTTATATTCTCCAAGATTACTTTATTGAGGGCTGGAAAAGGGGGAGAAAACCAGATGTATGGAACCATGCAAGGATTATTTTTATCCCTAAACCGAAGCCAGTTTATGGCAACAATCTCCGTTACATATCTGACTTTTAGCCTGAGCAAACTCTTTGACCCTGTTGTTCTCGCTCGTCTCACGCTACACATAGAATCGCGTGGACTAAATCCCCTGCATTAAGGGATTTTGATCGTACCTCTATGCACAAGATGCCCTGTTACAGTTTTCATACGTTCTTCTCAATGGCATGGTACACCTTACAAGAGCAGTTCTGGCGATAGACCTCACCAAGGCGCTTCACAGGGACACGCACAGTGCGATCCTACAGGGAATCACGAATCCACGAGCTGCAATCGGACATAGAACCTATAACCAAATCCAGGCCTTCCTACACAGGTGCACTGCCTACAGGCATATCGATAGTGTGCAAACGCCGCCATTCTTCCTTGGTAACATTCGCGCCCCTCAGGTGTCGGTTTTGTCGATGCTCCTCTTTTATATCTCCGTGATTTCCTCAGCGAAAGCTCTCAGCCATATCTCACACTTGGAAAATGTACTGCACACTGTCGATATAACAGTCTAGACCATGCATGACTCGAATGTTGACATCGAATCAACCCTTGCGGAAGCATCCACAGCTGTCGCTACACACTCGGCAAGCATGGGCCTTGAATGCTCCACCACAAATTCGGCACTCCTCATACACCAGCCGCAGCATATCCTCTCTCCCGATTTATTTACAAAACACTCCCATTCCGCAAACATCGGCCCTCCAAATTCTCTGGCGATACTTGCAGGACTGCGGAAGAACGATGCTAGTTCTAGGCAAAAAATCAGTCCCCTTAGTTCGTCATACAGCTTCTTAGAAGAGCTTCACACCCACGAGTAGGCTTTGACCAAGCAGACAACCTCAAGGTGTTACATGCATTCGTGCTTAGTTGCATCTCTATGCCTCTCTTTAACTTGACCCTATCTTGCACAAAAGTAAACGAAATGCTGTAATCCACATGGCTACCAAAGCCAGTGCTTAATCTCTCAAAGAATACCAGTAAGGATGGGCTTCTAAAACATGTAATGCACAACACAGTACGGGAACTGATAGATTCACACAAATAATTACAGTACCTTCGTCTAGCTGTGTCCGATATAGGACGATATGTACTGGATTCATTTGGAATCCGTATACTCGCGCATACTACAGAATTAGTGTCACACTCTCACGACATGCGCACCACCGTTCTTGTCGAGCCTCTTCCCAGAAATGTCTACCCAGAATATCACCAATCCCGCGGCGTACCGCGAGCAGCAGATCTCAAAAATGAATATGGCATTTTAGAAAATGTGCACTGGCTAGATTCCACGTGTGGTTATGACCGTGTGGTAGCTCAGCTTATCGTCCTGCAGCCGCCCCCCACTCACCCACTCCCCCTCACCCCCCTGTACCTTGGACGAAGCAGAGGAAGCTGCTATAGCGTCAGTGATCACCAAAATCATTACCAGTTAAGTATCTAGTGATTCGAAAACAGCAATGAATAACTTAGCCCTTCGGTCGCGTCCATCCCTCGTGCGTGGAAAGTAATGAGGGTGTATACGGTGACTTCCGATAGCTTAACAAAACTCGTGTGGGTGCCGGCTCTCTCTGGCCATCCCGAGAAATGATGCTGCCGATAACACAGCCAGGGTACGTATAATCCGGGCAAATGGCGACCTCAGCCGGGATTTCTCGAGAAAGCGGGCACACACGCTCTCTGAACTCGCCCCACAAGCACGCCTTGGCCATCGTCTCTACCCCCTCTTCGCTCTCGCTTTTCTCACTCGCAACAAGTCATCTGGAGGCGACTACAGACGAGAATTTTCCCCCTCCTGACGTTCCATCCTACTTCCGCCCCACTTCTTCGGAGTGAACTCTCTGTGTAGACTCGCCAGGCACCCTAAACCATATTCTCTTTGACTGCCCTGCTGATAATACCCCACAAGGAAAGCTCATCATGAGCAAATGAAAGGAATGGGAGTCCCTGCTTGCGTTGCACGATATGGACGCTGCTGTTAACCGGGGTGCAAGTACCCCGGCTCTGCGTGGTCATGCGCGCAATGCGATGGCCGTGCAGTTTCAATAAAGCTTTTATTTTCTTCCTTCAGAGCGGCTTCGAGTTGAACCCACTGCTAAACACAGGAGCCACAAGCTTTCGCTGGTTAACCATTTGTACAGATTGCCTGAGCTGTGATTTTGTTCCTTATGTGCCTAGTTTATTTACACCTTGTTAGCTTAATTCACCCTGGTCTTGAGCATTACGAGTTTTGTTTTAGGTATGCATTCAACAATGCATACCCTGAGGCAGTTGATGGACGGCGAACAGGGCCCCAAAGCACTTTAAACGGAAAGACGGAGAGGAAATTGTAGGGCTCCTTTTCTGTGTTGTGACAAAACCGTAAGTAAGACAAGGCAGATAACGAAGCGAGGGAAGCTATAGGAGACGTATTAAGTTCTGATTTTTTATTCGCACTTGAGGAGCGTACGCAGTGTGTGTTTCACTAGCACATACCTGGAATCCCGGGGGGCAGAGGCAAGCTGTAGTTTCCCGGTCCGTGGTCGAGGCAAGTTGCGCCATTGAGACAAGGTCCGCACGGTGGGCCACACTCCTTCAGGCGCACAGCACGCAGCACATCCCGCGACGCCCCTGAAAGGCGGACGTCACGTTTTCCTAGACGCAGCCGTCGCAAGCAGCCTCGAAAACCTCGCTCTACACCGCCGACGTTGTCCAGGACTCCGGGTGGTGGTCCCAGACCCCGAGGCCCCGGCAGCCAGCCGACGAACAGATTCTCGGCAAGATCCAGAGACTGAAGAAGGCCCCCCGACCGACCACGTATGTCTGCCTCGCCGTCCAGCGTTAGGAAGCCATCCTGCAGTGAAGTAGAGGGAGAAATTCAGTATTTTGATTACTACGTGCAACTAAGGCGAAATTGCAAGCAAGCATTGCAAAATTGACCGAAGGGAGTGGCATGTAATCAGCTTGCGCTGGTGTGCTAGCAAACTACACTGCCATAGTGCCCAAATAAAAAGAACACTCAATGAAAGACAATAAAGTAAAGCAAAATAAAAGTTGCGATGAAATTGAGAACAAGACTAAAAATCGATATAGTTAAATCTCAGAAGTTTCGACCGGAAGTGATAAACAATTTCTGCTTTAATTTCACTGAAACGTTGCGGTAATCGTTCAGTGTTATTGTACTAAAAGAAAGCCACTGAGAAACTATATTGCTCCTACAAGTTTTTCTCCTAATGCCTATGTCTCTGTTAATAGCTTTCTTGGCTGCACAAAACAATACCACGCATTCATAATATGTCCGACAGACGAACTGCTTTCGCTAAGGTGTGCTCACATTTGCTACCAATATACTACTTAGGTCCTCACCAAGCAGGATTGGCACGACAGTTGCAATGGATAAAGAATGCCGTGGCTTGGAAATCTTTTATCACTGCCCGGTCTTACTGACAAGCTGGCGTGGTCTTCGTGCCAACATGCATACAGTATAACAGCTGCAGGGTTTAGCGTTCCGACAATATAGACGCCATAGTGAAGCCTGGGCATCGACAATGCTGGCCACCAGGGATTCTTAAGGGCTTGATTGGGCTAGATGGTAGGCAACGACTAAAACAGTGCGAAGAACAAGAGGATCGCAAGGGAACACAAACATGACGCTGGATTAACAAGAGTTTAACGGGTTTAACGTCGCAAAACCACGACATAATTATAAGAGACGCCATTTGGAAGGGCTTCGGAAATTTCGACTATCTGGGATCTTTCACGTGCGCCTCATGGCGCCAGAATAACAACCAATGTTTATTGAAAAGAAGTGCCTTATATTGGACACAATGCATCTTGGCAGTACACAACAGAAATGCACATATATGTTATAAAGGGCACATGGCATACATACTTGCAAGACCTTGCCACATCAGTGGAGATAAGATATCTAAATTCTTAGCCATGAAGCAAAGTTCAGGAGACGCTAACACAAGAAATATCATGCTGTTCGCAGTGAAATCATTCAATTATTCTCGCGTTCACGCTGCTGGCTATAGCGCCCCGGGATGACCACACTTTTATCATGAATTGTGATTGACAGCCAATTCTATATGAATGTGTGGTCTCTTCGCTCAGTATCAAGATTGCAAGATCAGCAGCGCGTGTTGCTTCCCAAGAAACTTCCGCTCATTTCAATTATCAGTCTATTGCTCAAAATAAAATGCTTCTTTTTATTATGTGCTAGAGTAGAGAATAAATATTTCTACGCTTTCAGGTAAAACACCCTTATAGGGGCCAGCAACATTTTTGAGCATGCTCAGAACACGCTACCGGTCGGTGGTAGATGCTCCCGGGAAAACGCGAGCCGAATATTATAGCTAAAAATCAATCAGTTAAACATTGCTTTCTCTTCTTTCGATAAATGACGGAGGAAGCTTAAAAATCACTCGTAGAAGGACATCTAAAGGCCTTTGGCTGATTTGACCATGGTGCGCTCGGTCCTTACAGCAATCGCCATGGGAGGCCGCCACTTGTTCATGCGTGCGCGTGCTATTGCACTAAAAAATCATGTATTCGAAGCAAAAAAAAAAGGTGTTCAATGTCACGAGGCGCACGTTACGTACCATCTATGTAACTACTCCGTTCCTACTCGACGAATTCTTGAAATTTTCATCAGGCAATAGCCTCTTTTAGTAAACCCATTCCATAGTCACTTGAAAAAGTGTTTCAGGGGCCCTTCAAAGTTAACGACTGACTCCATTAATGTTTGTGTGCAGCTTAGAAAAAACTATATTTAAAATATTAGGCCAATCACTAGTCACAGGGAGAGAAGTGCTGAAAATGAGCGCCCTACGCGCTGAGCTCCCGCCAATACACTGCTACGATGCGCCGGAGCATAGAACCAGATACCGTCTAGGACCGGCATTAATTGTATTAATTTATCCATTTATTGATTTATTTTATAACCACAGCACCACAGACATTACAATGGGGTCTATAAACAGTAAGATCGCCTAAAATGAGCAGTGCGAACACGAGCTTAGCGAAGTCATAGGAATTGCATTTTTTCATTATTACCCATATTGTTTCAAATTTTGAGCAGACGGCTTTCTAATTACTTATCACAAGAAAATGTGATCGTAGAACAAAAATATCGCTTTCAAAAGAAAACAAATCTACTGAAACAGCCCTACTGCATAATAAAGAAAAAAGTACTTAATAATTTTGATCACAGATTACCGACCTTCGAAATTTTTCTGGACTTCCAAGAAAGCTTTCGACTCTAAGCACGATATTTACCTACTGAATCTACCTCCTTACAGAAATATAGAAAAAAAGCTACTTATAAAACGCTGTTTAACTCATCGAGAGCAGTACACTGGTTTCGGTGATTCTAAATCTCACATAATTAAAATCGCTTGTGGCATTCCACAAGCATCAATTTTAGGGCATTTGTTTTTATTGCTATATCTTCCTAACATACCCTTGACACCACACGTGTTTTAATACGCTGGCGACAGCAATGTATTTTTCGCTGGTAATTCTCTCAGTGTCCTTGAACAAGCCTACCATTGGCTGACATAGCTACGACTAGCTTAAGAGATAACAACTTACCGCAAAAAATTGTTTGCCTTTCTGAAGGTGGAAAATTAAACGTGTCACAGCGCATGACTTTCTAGCAATACTTTTACAGTGAAAGCTTTTAGGAAATCAGAAAATAGGTCACGCGTGGCGCCGTTGTTGACCGCCGCCACCGGCTTCCGTAACTTCTATCGGAAGAAATATGGAAAACGGACACATTAGGATTCAAATCCTGATGCTAGGCGTGCCATCCCAGTATTCTATCACTGAGCCACACCGGTGCTTGTAAATGCTCTTCAAATTGGTCATAGGCAGGCTTCATATCGGGAAAAGAATCTGGTTAATATGAGTAATAGGGCGTTTTAGAACATCAAAGGAACAAGCAGGCGTCACACAATGTAAATTTCAGAAAGAATGGATTGCACAATGATCCAACCCATTACAAAAGCTTGTTCTTGTTCTCCTATGTTCTTGTCTTGTCTCCCAGGAGATCTTGGCGTTCTCCTATTGTTGTTGTTGTTGTTGTTTCCCTGTGCGAATGGCTCGTACCCAAAGAAGGGGATTGGTCGATTATAAGGTGAATTTGCCCTAAACTTTCCGCATTGCGTCATACCTATTAACTGTGGAGCATACTCCTCTTCTTCTTCTCCTCATCTCATATGGCTCTTACCCAATGCAGGGTATTGGCCGAGTGTTAGCTGAATTTGTTTTTTTTTCGTCGCAATACTACTCGTATATACTAAGGATAGGTTTCACAACGAATAATTACTGAATAATAATATTTAAAAGTTTAAAAGAATGAAAATTTAGCTCTATATTCTTTCAGTCTAACCGATAAATTCCTCTATTGCGTAGTAAACATCCCTATGACTATAGCTCAGAGTAGAGGCTTTGAATGATAGAACAACTGATTTGAATATTTCCAGACTCCAGTTTCGAATAGGTTCTGCTATGAATTCTCTTCTCAATGACGTATAGCAGGCGACAGGATAGAAAGTAATGACTGATTGTTAACCTCCTCCTTACAGACGATACACAGAGGAGACAACGCTTGACATGCTCTACGCTGGTAAAAGTTGAGGGAGGTAACCCGGCAGCGAAGTTTGGTTATGGCCAATTCTATTATTATCGACCGCGATAACTCACTTTTCCAGGAAAATAATAGGTGAAATTCTGGAGAAGCTGTCAAGACGTTGTCTGATAAGCATTTTTTGAACGTTAAGGTGCGGAATCGTGCAATTGTAATGTATGTTGTTTGTGGGAAAACCGGAATGATTGGCATCAAAAGCGCCGCCTTTGCTAAAGAATTAGCGCTTTCGTTTAAAAGCAAACCCTTGTGTCCTGGTACCCAAATTAAGTGGAGACATTGCAGCTGCGCGGGAACTAGTATTCAGAAAAGCTTTATAACAGGCGTTTCACCAGATGCAGAGAGAGAACACACAGATGAGTCAGTGATGATTTATACAACTCTATTTAAACAGGGTAACTTTTCGAGAGCTAATATTATGGCCAGCAATTCAGCTATAAAACCGGTATAACATTCGGCAGTCGTAACGAAAAAGACCAATCAAGTTGAGGGCAGAATATTCCTATTCCAGATTTTTCCTCAATTTTCGATGCATCCATTGCAATAACCACATTTGTCAGCAGAATATTTAGACGGTCTTGTATTAGTCCGTTTGTCTTGTCTTGGTCTTGTCTCCTAAGACATCTATAGTCCATTTACTTCCGGCACAATGCTTCATCGTCATCACCCACAGCATAAAAAAATCGCAGAAAATTGCCTAACAAGTGTGTAGCGGGACACAACGCTTCTCCGAAGAATGATGAAAGATAGCATCGTGCATTTCAGCCTACAACGCAAAAACTATGAATATGTATATATGTTCATAGTTATATATATGTATATATACATATACATATATATAACTGTATATATACTTTGTATACAGTTCAGTGTTTGTATACTGTTCCTTTTTCTGTACTAATAACTGAAAATAAACTGAAACTGAAACTAAACTGAAGGAGGTACCCATGAAGCGTGCTTGTAGCAGTTACCCAAGATGTGTTAAATAAAGGCTCTGAATGGTCGCTTTTCTTGCGTACGCTGTGACAGTGCTGAGGGTTTCGCACAGGTCTGCCATTTTTTTCATGAACAACGTAGACTGCGTGGTCTTTGCACAGGGACGACGGCCTTACCAAATTTTCCAGATTAACGGGCATCATCTGCAAATTACGAGAAGTGCCCCATCTGTGCTTTACAAAACAACTATATCACACACTTGTTCACTT